AGAAGAAAGGCAGTATATAAATCTAACAAACAAATCAATAACCTTGTTACTAGTGGTATCTGGTAAAGCACCCTCTTTTGCCCTGGGCCTTTCACAATACAGACAAGATGAGAAATCTGCATTAATCTCCGTGCTTGATGTCTTTTGACTATTACGCATGGCCTTCTCTAGTGACAGAGAAAGTATGGTGCTTAAATCAGCCATGTATATAGAGAAATTAGAAATACTGCTTAAAGTATTAAAGGAGAAGGTATGTACAGTATGTGTGATAGAAAATCTTCTTCCTCATTTGGTAAGAATGCAAACATCCAGTATTAAATGTATGTTTCATAATTGAAAAGGTAACTTACCCTGCCATTCGCATGTTCTAAAAAGATAATTTCTTTTAGTCTGGTATTAAGGATGAAAAAAATCCTCTTTGGCATATCATTTTTTCTTCATTTGTTGGGACGTGGTTTGCTTGAGATTTTTTGCTTCTGCCTAAGGAAGCAGCAGCTATATTTCTCCTTAACCCCACTCCTCTTCCAAGTTGTATGAAGGGACAAAGAGTTCCAGAAAAGCTTTCTTGTTCTGCTACTTTCTAGTGACTTAACAATAATATTGCTTTAAAATGTAATTGTGCTTAAAACATCAGAGAGATACAGTGTTTACAATAGAATAGAGCTGGAAGGGACCTTGAAGGTCTTCTAGTCCAACCTCCTGCTCAAGCAGGAGAACCTATATCATTTCAGACAAGTGACTGTCTAGTCTCTTCTTAAAAACCTCCAGGGATGGAGCACCCAAGATTTCTGGGGTTAAGCTGTTCCACTGGTTAATTGTCCTCACTGTTAGGAAGTTTCTCCTTAATTCCAGATTGCTTCTCTCTTTGATCAGTTTCCAACCATTGTTTCTTGTCCTGCCCTCTGGTGCTTTGGAGAATAATTTGACCCTCTCTTCTTTGTGGCAACCCCTCAAATATTGGAATACATTAGAAATTCTTGCTAGAGTAGTAAGACAAGAAGAGCAGATTAAAGGATTTAAGATTAAGAAAGAAACATACAAACTTCAAGCTTATGCAGACGACTTAGCATTTATATTAGAAGACCCAGAACAATCAGGGCAGAAACTATTCAAAATATTGGAAGAGTATGGGGATCTGGCAGGTTTGAAAATAAATAGAAACAAAACAAAGATTATAACAAAAAATATGACTAACATACAAAAAGGAAACCTCGAGGCAAAATTAGGTATACAAGTAGTTTCCAAATTAAAATATCTAGGGATAGTTATTTCAGCACGCTGCTCATCAATTAAAGAAGACAATTATGGCAAATTGGTAAAGAATATAAAAGTAGTTTTAGACGGTTGGAAAAATTTGCATCTTTCATTACTTGGGAGAATTGCTGCAGTGAAAATGAACATCTTACCTAAAATGATATTCCTGTTTCAGAATATCCCAATTCAATTAGACAAGAAATTTTTCAAGAAGCTGAATAAATTAACCTTAGAATTTGTGTGGTCCGGTAAGAAGACAAGAATAAAATTAAAGACATTACAGGATGCTAAAGAAAGGGGAGGTTTAGGTTTCCCAGATTGGGAGCTATATTACCAAGCAGCGGCCCTAACATGGATTAGAGACTGGATAGCCTTAGAAAATAAAAGAGGTTTACATTTAGAGGGTTATGACCTCCAGCAGGGTTGGCATGCTCACATATGGATGGGGCAAAGCAGAAACCACCAATATTTTTTAAGACATAAGGTTCGGCAAGAATTAATAAAAAGCTGGAATATAGTTAAATGTCAATATTACACAAAGATTCCGCCTTGGCTATTACCATTGGAGGCAGTCACATATCCCAATTTGTATAGGAAAGACAAGGCTATTATATATAAAGACATCTTGACAGAAGAAGGTTATTTAAAACAAAAACAAGAGCTAAAACAACAAGGAATAGACATGGAGTGGTAGTCTTATCTCCAGATACAAGCAAGATATATGAAGGATAAGCAAGAATCAGGTATTAACAGACAAGATACGGGGTTAGATAAAATACTGCTAGGACCGGAGAAAAAACAAATAAATAATATTTATAAACACCTGTTGGAACATAAGCTATATGAGGAGCAGGTTAAAGAAACAATGGTGATGTGGGCAATAGATCAGGATATAATATAAATATGAATCAATGGCAGCAAGTATGGGAGTGAAATAACAAAATCACATTGGCGACATCATATAAAGAAAACCTGTATAAGATGGTTTACAGATGGCATCTCCCTCCGGCCAGATTAGCCAAAATGTATAACGGATATTCTTCTATGTGTTGGAAATGTAAAAAAGAAAAGAGCACCTTTTTTCATGTATGGTGGACATGTAGGGAAGCACAGTTGTATTGGCGTTTGGTCTGGGAATGGGCAATAGAAATGACTAGGCAAAACATTCTATATACAAACCTGAGGCATTATTATTAGGAATACTAGAGAAAAATGTAAATAAAGAGGACACATATTTAATTATTCACGTGGTTACGGTGGCAAGGATACTATTTGCTCAAATGTGGAAAGCAATGGAAGTACCGAGTGAGGAAGTACTAATAAAGAAAATTATGTATTGCACAGAACTAGATAGGATAACAGAATTTTATTGAATATGGAATAAATTTTATAGATGGAGGGAAAAAAATGGAGGTCACAAATAAAGAGATAAGTTAAGATAGAGACCAGAAATGTATAGTTTGTATATAGATATATTATATGTAATTAATGTACAATATGGACTGAGATGTCAGTGAAAGACGATTTACCATGTTCAATGTTTTTAATCCTTTTTTTCTTTGTACTCAATAAAAACTTTTAAAAAAATATTGGAATACTCCTATCATGTCACCCCTATTATTTCTTTTCTGTAGACTAGCCACACCCAAGTCCTGCAGCCGTTCTTTATATGTTTTCATTTCCAGGCCTTTGATCATTTTAGTTGCTCTTCTCTGAACTTTTTCCAAAGTCTCAACATCTTTTTTGTACTATGATGACCAAAATTGGTTTGCAGAAGGAAGCATACCTCTCTACCTGTTTTCAAGTCACACAGAGTTCATGCTGTATTCATAATCTCCTCCCCCCAATTATTTGGTTGGGGAGATGATGTGGCAGAGTACATGAAATACAAAGACGGGGACAGCAGATATAGCTACTTCACCTATACAGTTTTTCTATGAAAAACTTGTAGAGTCAATTGCATTGTCAGAAGTAATTAATTAAGATTCTTGATACTGTTTGTGGCTACCAGAATTAGATGAAAGCAAAACATTTGAGAGAGAGAGAGAGAGAATGAATCTCTTTGTTGCCATTTAATGCCCACCTAAATTTTGCAGCCCAGCTATGGTAACTCCATTGTCCTCGAATAGACTGTTAATACTCTGATGATAGAATCATAACACTCTTTGGGGTTTTCCACTTTAGACCTCAGTTCCCTTTGTTGGTTGATCATGCACCATGCAGATCTGGCTTTCTAGTCTTTCAATTACAGTACATAATTTCCTACATGTCTACTCAGAATTTAAAAAAAAAGACACATTAAATCAAATCCTATGTAATTAATCCTGTGCCCTTTGAAGGCAGCATAGTTAGATCACGGCCAACCTTGACTCATCCCTGTTATATGCAAAATTTAACATGTCTGGATCTGTACGATTATAACATAACTGACATAAGTACTTCAACATGAACTTTATTGTTCTACTGCTGACCTTTACTTGCTTTCATTCTGCACAAAATTATTTCCAGGTGAACATATTGCGATCAGATTGTTTATGTTTTGGCAATTACATCTGCAAATTTTAAAAAGAACACTACTTTCTTTGTAATTTCTTACGTATGATATAATTGAAGCCTGAGAAGCCATTTAATGCAATAAGCTGTTGAGATAGTATAAGAGTTCACCTATTTTCCTTCCATTTGGACCTCTATGTTAGGCAGCACTAAAGCTACACATGGAATTAATATGAGTTCTGGGTATATATTTCCTCCTTTTTGGAATGCACAATAATTAACTTCACTGTGTGGAAAATGCAGATTAAAACCTCTGAACTTTTGTGCTCTTAGGATGATAATTGATATAAAAATTGATTTGCCATCCCTAAGCTCCTTTGTTTAAATTATGGTACTGGCAGAGAAGATGTTTTTTTAGAATTTAATCTGCTGTAAACCTCACGTGTTCAGCATTCAGGGATTATTATTTTCTGCTGACAAGCAGAACAAGTTAAAAATCCCTGCTAAAGCAGACAAAGCTGAGCTTTGTTAAAGAACTTTCTCCTTTGGTTTTAGCAAGTTTTTTTTAACTGGTTGCCTCTCTTGATAGTGACTAATGGTGTTTCAGAGATGTTTTGTACAATATACTGTAGAACAAGTATTCATTAGTTGGTGTTATTTCAATACCTGAAGTATCATCCTGGTCTTTGTTTAAGTCTCTCGTTATTTCTCCTCCCCACATAGATTATCTCAGTATATTCTGCTGACTCTTAAGTCCCATGACTGCTCATTTTTCCTTGAGCACTCCTATTCATCTAAAACTCTTCTCAAAACCCTGCTTCTTCCATGCCATTGGAAAGATGAAAGACATTATTATTGCTTTTCTCAGCTTCATCCATTTTACCGTATTCTTTTCTATTTTCTTTACTTCATCTTTGTTTCCTTTTTTACCTCCCAAAATGTAGCTTATAAGCTCTTCTAAATATGGATATTGTATTTTTGGCTCGTTTATTTGACCCCTTCCTTATTATGTAAGCTTATAATATAAATATATGAAATCCAAATGCCATTTTTTAATTAATGTTTGATGTAAATTAATTTTAGAATTTTCTTAGATTGAAACTTTGAATAACTGATTTCCAGCTTCAATTTTAATAGAAAATTCTGGTGTCCAATGTTACTTAATACCGGTGATGCGGCTATTAGTTTCCCTCTCTTTTTTAACCAGATGCTTTTTGTTTGTTTGTTTTTTGCTTTTATTTCTGCCAAAGCAGGATGCTGACATGTTGGCAGGTGATGAACAAGCTTGGAAAGAAGCCAAAGAAGTTATAAATGCAATAGGAGCACCAGAGTCACGTGAAGGTATCCTCGGTTCACAAAATACACACATTTCCATTCCAATCAGGAGGATATAATTATCAATTTGTTTTCTAGTATTTGTTAAATTCATTCTCTTCCTGCCTATTATATGTATTTTGTAGTTTTCAAATAAAACCATATTTAAAGAAAAGGAAGCAGAAGGTAAATCAAATCAAAATGTGTTCTGGGTTATAGAAAACTCTTTTGTCCTTACTTTTTTTCCTCAGCATTTGTATCTTTAAGTTTCTGGAGCAATAGCAATAGCACTTAGACTTATATACTGCTTCATCGTGCTTTATAACAATCTCTAAGAGGTTTACACAGTCAGCATATTGCCCCCAACAATCTGGGCCCTCATTTTACCGATCTCAGAAGGATGAAAGGCTGAGTCAACCTTGAGCCCATCAGGATCGAACTCCTGACTGTGGGCAGAGTTAGTCTACAACACTGCATTCTAACCATTATGTCACACATGGCTTTTGGCAAAAGAAACTTTGTTTTGGCCTTGCAGAACAAGATGACAGACAATTTAAATATTTAAGTCTTAATATAGTTTAAATAACCAAAAGAACATGAACACACACACACACACACAGAGAGAGAGAGAGAGAGAGAGAGAGAGAGAGAGAGAGAGAGAGAGAGAGAGAGAGAGAGAGGGAGAGAGAGACATTTAACATTTAATAATGTTAATCTTTTGGCCATATATGTTGCAATTCAATACTCACTTATTGAAATTTCACTATTAAAGTAGTAAACCATATTTCATTCCATTTTTAGTATAAAATATTTGTAAATCAAGTTTAGACATCTACACTATTTTGCTGTCTTTAATAACTGAGAGATTTTTTTTCTAACTTTTCATCACTATTCTCCAGCCCCGTCAAATGTTGTGCTCTGTTTTTCTTTAGAGTAGCTTCTCTAAAAAATCCTTCTTTTTCATTTAATGCAGTCTCTTTCTTCAATTTACCATTCCACTGCCCTTTGGGACAAGGATTCAACTAAAGGCCATAATCTGTATGGAGCAGGGAATCAAATCTTTTCATTAATGCCAACATCAGTGCATATAAGACTGTGGTGGCCTGCCCTCTCCTCAAGAAATCATCCTTGGACCTAATGATAATAACAATTTTCATTCTTTCTCCACCTTCCTGTTTCCAATACATATTACAGCCTTTAGTTGAATTCCTCTTTCGGAGAAGATTAGGAACGTAGTCAGGCTCCACTTCAGAGGCCCCTGGAAGAAGCAAAATATGAAGACTCTTTTAATTTTTTTCAATTTTACATCCATCCTGGATCCTCTTGAAGTAGTGCCATAGAAAGTCCTGCCAAATGTGAAGATGCCAAAGGAGTACTGCTAGTGAAGTTCATGGAGCGTGGTTCGACCATCAGTTCAGATGTCTATTGTGAAATATTACGAAAACTCAGACGAGCCATCCATAACAAGTGTTGGGGCATGATGACTTCCAGTGTGGTGTTGATTCATGATAATGTTTGCCCACACACCGCTAGACACACCCAAGAACTATTGCAACAGTTCCGTTGTGATGTTTTTGATCACCCCCCATAGCTCAGATTTTGCATCGAGTGATTACTACAAAGGAATTTCAAACCTTGTAAGACGTTATGACAACTGCCTCAATTTGAATGGCGATTATGTTGAAAAGTAATGTAATGTTGTAGTTTTCTAATGTATATAATAAAAGTTCTGTATCTGCGAGTGTCTGTCATTGATAACCAAACGGAGGTTTATTTCCGAATTGCCCTTGTACATAATCAGTTGATAAATTCAGATTGTTCCTTGACTGGTATTAACTATGTGAAGTTGGGAATATCAATGTCAACTAAGTATCTTATGAATGTTGATTTAATTATAGCAGAAACTCATAAAGAGTTCATATTAAAATGCAGATCTTTCGTCTTCTTTGTTACAGTGCAAAGAAGATTGTCAAATATGTTTAATAATGCTGAGTACCAGTGTATAGAGTCCCTCTTTCTTTCCCCTATGTATTGCTGTCCCCATTCTCCTCCCATCCCTGATCATGTAATTTTCATCAGGGAAAAATTTATGTTGGCAAAAATTGTTACATTAAAAAAAATTCTTTTAATTTATAAGATGAGTTTTAATTTTGTTGAGACATTCAACTAGAAAAAGGTTACAAGAAATATGTTGTTTACTTTAAGAAAATACTTAAAAGAAAATTAAATATAACAAAATTAGTTTTAGTTTCATATGATCACCATTCATATTCATGTAGTTTGCTTTCATGCTTTGTTGGTTTTAAAAAAATTGAGTTTTCTACAGAAGAGGGTTTTCTAGAATAGAAAACTGTAATGTTTTAACTTAATGTTTTGCCTTTTGATTGATGCTTCTGTCATGGGTTAATCCTTAACACAAATAAATGTCAGAGTGGGAGCAAGTTCTGTTGTCCTGCCAGACATCACTGAAGAGCAACACCTCTCGTCTCCCAGACACCAACATCTATCAGCTAAAATTACTTGACCTTGCCATGGATGCCTGCATAAACCTGGGCCTTTGGGAAGAAGCTCTGCATTATGGTAACCGAACTTTGCAGCCCTACAGGTGAGAGCTAGCTTTACTGTGATTTATGGCACGGATCTGTTTCCACCCAAGATGGTGAGACACAATGTATATTTTCTGTGATAGTTTTCCCCATACAAGCTGCAAGAAACTACTTTGCAGATATAATAAGGCAATTTGTACAGGTACCTTTTTCATTCTGAAAACAGAGAATAAAATATTTTACATGCATAGGACAAAAGAAACTGTTTTACATTTATTGACAATTATGTTATACAGAGTAAGAAAACCAATTTCTTTTCACCACCAACACCACCCAGGCCCCCCAAGTTCCTTGATCATCACAGCATCATTGTACTTTGCTCTGTAGGGTTTTCTTCCCTATCCATTCAGCTCTTCAGCTACTTGTATCGACTTATATGCAAATGTACACCAGTCTTAAGGAATTGCCATTTTCTCTGGCTCTTTACATACAAATAGAATAGGAATTGCCACTCTGATAAAGAGAGGAAACAATGAAGTTATTAGCAAGTAGTTTATACTTACTCATCAGTCTTTGATCTATGATTAGCTGATCAATAAGTGATGAGGTCTCTTTCTCACTGGCACATCTTTTGTGAACAATTTTAAAAGCACAATTAAAAATGATTGAACAATAGACTTTATTTATTTATTTACAAATATTTATATGCCGCCCAATCCCAAAGAACTCAGGGCGGCATACAAGGTTAAAAACAGTCATAAAAGAATAAAATAATCCAGTCATACCGCGAGTCCGATCATATCCCGGCCCCCCGGGGACATCAGCCCCAGGCCTGCCGGAACAGGAGAGTTTTAACGGCTTTCTTAAAGGCCGGCAGGGTGGGAGTAGTTCGAACCTCGGGGGGAAGTTGATTCCACCAGGTCGGAGCCACCACAGAAAAGGCCCTTCCCCGAGGGCCCGCCAGCCGACATTGTCTGGCCGACGGGACCTGAAGGAGGCCGAATCTATGGGACCTCACCGGTCTCTGGGAGCTGTGTGGCAGAATGCGGTCCTGTAAGTAACCTGGCCCTATGCCATGAAGGGCTTTGAAGGTGATAACCAACACCTTGAATTGCATCCGGAGACCCACAGGAAGCCAGTGCAGCTCGCGGAGGATAGGTGACACGTGGGCGTACCTTGGCGCGCCCACAATCGCTCTCACAGCTGCGTTCTGAACCAACTGCAGTCTCCGAACGCCCTTCAAGGGTATTTGCTATTTCAGCTTTTCCCTAGGCTAAAATCTGTAATACTTGGAATGAGAAGACTGGCTATTCTTTTTATAACTCCTTCGAGAGTTCTGGAATGTTTTGCATTAGGTCTAATTTTACTTTTCAAAACCTCCCAAGTATCTGTTAAGAGAATAGCATTATGTTTTTGGTGAGACCTTTTCTTCCTTTTAGTGCTCCATGTTTTTAACCTGTCACTAATTAATTTTGATTCTCAGAGTTTGAACAAAATAGAATGATTTCCTTTGAAACAGAGAGTAGTTATAGAGGGTATAGCTGCAAGGGCAAAAGAGCAGAGTGATCTAACTTTGTATTCTTTCTCTTCCTGTTTCTTTCTTTTTGCTCACAGAAATACAGTTTTTTTAAAAAGAAAATAATGATGGGCAGCCTCAGTAATAGTATCTTCAAATACTACTAGTAGTATTTACAAAATGAAAAGAGGCACTTCTTACCATTCAATGGGACTTGGTTGTGATAAAGGAGCATTTCACTGAGGGAATTTTAATTGCTATTCTGTTTCCAATGATCTCAGTCAGGTGCTTTCATTTTTTTTATTACAGATCCATATTTTATTGAATATTCAAGTTCTAGAAAATTGCTTTAAATGTATGAATGTACTGTATTATTTGGATCCTTTAAATTTAATTTCAGGTTAAATTGTGAAGGGCAATATTGTGAAGGGCAATAAAATAAAAATTTCAATCCTCTAGAGAGATGAAGATTAAGATACAATGGGTCAATGGCAAAATGGGGACAAAATTGCCCCTTAGGCACTTAATAATTAAAAATGAAACACAGTCTGAATTGTCAAGAAAACTTCATTGTGCAATTAAATAAGATATTAGTAATTGCCTAATTTCAAAATATTGGCCTTCATAGTCATTTTATTGAAATATACTTTATTATTTAAACATCCATAAAAAGTATAGCTCATATTTTCATTGTCATTGTTGTTTTAAGCAAACCACGCTTTTCTACAAAGTTGGTGAAAATAATGTGATAGTCCTGAAACCTCTCAAGTTTAACGTTCTGTTTCTGTGGCCAATAATTAGGGTCCAGTGGAGGACCCAAAGCAGCAGATGAGTGCTCCCAATTGGAATTGCCTCTTAGAGAAGTATTGTCTCTAGACATCATGACAAGAGCTATCGATAGGCTTTTTCTCCACAATTTTCTCTAATCTCTCTCACCGAAAATGACCTTTCTGTTTTAATTACTTGCTATACTTTTTCAGCTATGCTTCTGTAACATTCAAAAATTGGCCAGACATGCCACATGGGTACAAAAGAGTTGCAGCAGAAGGCAATTATAAGTTTATCAAATAATTTCACCGTTTCTTTTCTTGTGTGTCATACTTAGTTGTAGCCAAGTTGTTGCCTCTGATTCTGTTGTAGAGATACGCAAAATTGTATGTTTTTCATCGAACGTTGTTGGCTTGCAAAGGTTCTTGACCTCTCTTGTAGCTTGAACTGGGCGTCGTAGTCTTTCCATGTGCAAAAGCATTTTCTGAGGAGAGACATTTTCAGTTTGAGGTCTTGTTATTTGAGGGGGGAGGGGTTTCCCTTCAAGCCTTCACTACAAGCTTTGACGCTCCTGACAAAAAGTTTTCTGTTTCTCATTACAAGAAGTTGCGCCTGAAGCAGCAGGATACCAAATCCTAGGGAATCTGTTGGACTGCATTGAATTTCTCCAGTGGAATCAATCTACTGCTTGACTGCTTCCACAGTTCTATTTTCCTTTTCTCAGTTCTGAGGGAAAAGAAATATTCATATTGTTACCTGCAGGGAATAACCTGAAAAACAAGCCATCCATACAAATCGGAGGTGGTATGGGTTCCTTTAAAGAGGTTTAAAGTATTGGACTAAAACCATTTTAACTTCAGGGATTGTATTTACTGTGAGTATTCCCATTAAGTGACCAGTGGGGTGCATTTCCACTATAGTGTGCTAAGTGCAGTTTTTGAACATGTTTTCATTGCAGACATTGCTGGGCTTTCAGTATTTATTTAAAGGCCATACTAAGCTATCACTCAGATAAATATAATGATGGACTTTGTGGTGTAGATTCACACTACAATGCACTTGGCAAATTGATTACCAATATAACTTGGTCCAGAAGATTAAGAGTTCTTTATAGTAGTTCAAAGCCTAAAATTCCACTTGCATGAAGCATACTAAAAGGAAGTTCTGTAGAATTTAGAAATCCAGAAAACAATTAATTGTGTTGGTTTTCATCACAGTGATAAGTGGCTGATCATGAGTAGTGAAAATTGAATGAGATCTTTCCTTATAAAGCTTTTTTATTATGAGGTCCTCTTATATTTTGGCAGTTACACACAAACTAACATAGTCAACCCAAGCCTGTAGAATATCTCTTTTAATCTAGAGGTGAAAAAAATCATGTGCTCTCAGATATTTAGCTGACATGTTGGAATTATTGAGAACTCATTTATATTTCTTCTTCTTCTTCTTGTGCCATATCTGTTATTGGACATTGGCGATCATGTTGGCGATCATGATCATAGGAATATAAAAAAGAACAGATTTTACACAACTAACCAGATTGGATTCTGATTACTCAAAATCACCAATACTGGGACTGATAGCAAGAAAGTCCATGGCCTTTATCTTCTTCTTCTTCTTCTGAGGCTTTACACTATTTAAGTAAATTATATACACAGCAGAATACATTTGGAGACTCTATACAAAACTAGTTTATATTCAGGAAGTTGTGATAGAAAATTATGTTAGGATTAGTTATATTGAATGTATATACTTTAGGTGAGCAATCCAGTTTTGAAGGGCTGCATGAGATTCAGGGCACATGAAACGTGGGGCTGGGCTTATGTGCTTGCCTTTCACATCTGCCACATGAACCTGGAAAAATTTGCATGTGGTTCAAGGCAGAAGTCCCCAACCTTTTGGTCATCAGGGACCGGTTCCGTGGAGAGAGGTTTTTCCACGGACCGGAGGGTGTGTGGTTTTGTGTGCTGCCTGCATCCCATGGATGGAGCTTTGCTTGTTTGTGTGGACTGGTTGCTGGCATGCTGCGGCCCGGTACTGGTCCACAGACGGGGGGGTTGGGGACCCCTGATTTAAGTTTTTTCCACAAATGCTATGCATAGGTTCAAATACATATTTGAAGTTCAACAAGAATTCTAATAAGTGAGTATCTCTAGAATTGCTGGAAAGGAATTATTTGTGAATATTAAAATGCTAAACAAGATAGAAAAGGTAAATCCTGTTCTTGAAATTATGTACTAATTAAAATTGTTTTTCAACAGAGCTGCACAGGTTATCAATGGGTTTCCAGGTACAATTCAATGTGCTGATGGTTATCTATTAAGTCCTGGTTGGCACAGAGGCTGGATATTTGTGCGATGCAATCAATAAACAGTTCAAACCTAAAAGAGAAGCATAATGCTTGGGAAAATATAATGCAGGCAAATTTAATTTTACTTAAAATAATTTTTATTATTTTATTATTTTTATTTATTATAAATAAAATTTACAAAAAGAATCAAAACAATGCAAGCCCTTATTACTTTGATTTCTCTTTAGGTCAGATAAATCTTTCAACTTACTGAAAAGAATGGAAGACCTTCATTCTTAAATGATTATCATATTTGAATCTGTATACAGTATTTGTCATGATAACCACACAGGTAGTTCTTTGACTTATGACCACAATTTTAGCCCATAATTTCCATTGCTAAACTAGGCAGTTGTTAAGTGAGGCATTTTACTGACTTTTTGCTATGGTTAAGAGAATCACTACAGTTGTTAAGTGAATTATGCGGTCCTTAAATGAATCTGGCTTCCCCAGATTCATTTGCTTGTCAGAAGCTCCCTAGGAGGGTTGCAAATGACAACCCCAGCCCTCTGGGAGGCTACAACCATGACAAATACACGCTAGTTGCCAAGCACCTGAAGTTTGATCACGTAACTGTGGGGATGCTGCAGTGGTCATAAGTGTGAGAACTGGCCATAAGACACTTTTTCAGTGCCATTGTAACTTAGAATGGCCACTAAACAAATGGTTGTAAGTTGAGCACTATCTGTATTTGCCTGTGCAGAAGTAGAGCTTGGTATGATTTGTGATGTTAATTTAAACAAACGTTAGATATTGTGACAGGGAATTGAGGAGCTTTTGTGGATGGTTGAATAAAACATACAGTATTAAGTGGTATTTTGGCCACATGGAAATGTTTCACATCTACTAAATCTGTTGCAGAAAAACAAAAAGGCAAAGGAAGTAGTTCCTAACAGTAAATGAAAGGGAAAATACTGTTCTTGCTTGGGATTTGCAGAATCTATTTCATATTTATAGTCTGCAGAGAAAATGCCCAAGTCATTAAATGCAAGAATGAGCACCAGACTAGAGTGGGAAGAAAAGTGTAGGAACTCACAAGTTACACATTGAAAAATATGTGTCAAAAATACTTCTTATAAGAAAACATATTTTGAATTCAGCAAAACAGATTTTGAACTGAGCTAAATGAAGAATGGATGTGCTATTAGCCTAGAAGACACTGATCTTTTTATAGAGCCAAGTTTTAAGAATATGCTTAAAATCCCATTTGCAGTCCTTGACATCTCCAGCTAAAAGATCTTGGATAGAATAGTTGGAGAGGAAAATACTCCTCTGTCATCTGCTGTCAGCTGGAACAAATGATACAGCAGTGGATGGTAACTTCTACTGTGAATGGAAACTGGCGTGCTACCCATAATTTAATTCTGGAGTTCTCTTTGTTCTTTCTCCCATTTGTGAACAAAGCCATAATTATGAGAAATAATTCTTGAAATGTTCATTGTTGATGAAATGGCAGAAGCCTTTTCATCACTTCATCTCCCATTTGCTTTTGCACCTCATGGGAGAATATTTAGAGAATCCAACTTTGTCTAAAAGTCTGGCTGCCAATAGGTAGAGAAATAAATTGTACTCTTAATAGTAATAAGCTTTTCTGATAGCAGGATATCCCATTATATCTGAAACAAGTATCAGTGCAATAAAATCAATTCTAAAATGGAGAGCAAAACTGTTGCATCCTGTTTAACTCCAGGGTTTCATTGTATAAGGCCTGAGGCCTTTCAAATCACATGTCATTTTTAAGTCATTTTATAAAAGGCCAGGGCTGCCTACCTCTCTTTCTCCAGAAACCGCTGCTTTTGTCAGTCAGCTTTTAAACTGCACAGCAGTGCTGCCCAATTGTCGATTTAGGATGGAGAGCATGTGATATCTTTAAAAAGATAATATTCTGCCAACATAATCTTGTCCTTATCTCTATCCTGTCTGGATTCTGAATGACTGGTCTGCATATTCTCTCTGTGGCATGTCTGCCTTCTAGGTAACATTCCCAGGTTTGGACAGATACCAAAAAAGAGAAGACTTGCTATAAATGGCTACAAAGGCACACAAGTATTGCCCTGTTATTCTTCACCTGCATAGCTGAAAACTTTCAATTTGTTTGATATATGTTGAAAACCAATAATTATCTCCCTTCTATGATTGTCATATATGAATTATGTTCCTAAAAGTTTAGTGTTGCATTTACAGAAGAGCATAAGACCTACAGAAAGGAAGTCCACTATTGTTATGCTGATTGACATACATTCAGTATATTTTTGTAGTGATATGTTAATTGTTAGTGATAATGTAGTAAATAATTATATATGTAAACAATATGATGAATACATGACTATCTTCCTTGGTAATTGCTGGTTTCTTGAAATCAACTTCCCTGGGTCAGTTCTCAAAAATGGCCCCAAAATGATAAGAATAGCACGTCCCAGTGTCCTAGTTTTCTTATTAGTGTTCTCATTGTGAGAGGAAGAACCGAAATTTCTCACTGTGTTTAAATGTTGATACTTAGTGTGTTCCGGTCCTTTTAAAATAAGTGACTAGAATTAAAGTAGACCTCAAGACTGTATTTTGTGAATTTCCAGGTCTATTCCCTCCTTACTTATTTGGATCACTGACAAATCTTCAGCAGACCTTGTTTATATCAGATTTACAAAAGAGGCTCATGGCAGCACTGGTGACAGTTATATTTTATACAGAGATACCTTCATCTGATACCAAAGTGAAGTTAAGGCATTGTTTCTGTACAATAACATTGCCCAAACTTGCGATTAAGTGGTTACTGAGTTCCATTTCCTTATAAGAACATGTGTAAGAACCAAAGAATGTATACCTCAAGTGAACTAAGCATTAATCTGTCAGCAGCCTAAGTGTGTTTAGGATAGGGCAGTGGAAATATGCAAAAGGGTGACACTTGAGTATATTTTCTGAGAAGCATTTAGGAGCAGATGGAAGCTGTAAGGAGACTGATTCATCAAAGTATTTAGGATACATCTCTTTTCATTAGTTAAATCTTTCTTTGTATGTACTTAAACATGACCACATAATTGTGGTTCTGAAATAAAGCAAAAGTAACTAGTTCTAGAAAAGGATTAGTTTGTGTGCTCAAGCAAGGCTATAATAATTGTTTTCTTATAAACTATTTTTTTCCCTTTCTTGAAATAAAAATCTGTTCTACAGGGCAGAGTGTTTAAGAAATCCTGTTTTAGAAAGATGAGATTTTAAAATGGAAGTGCATTGGAGGTGAAACTGAAACACACCTTGTCAATTTGCAAACACCAACTACCCCTATTGTTTTAATTTGGAAAAAAAAGAGAGATTGACCAGCTGAATTAAGCAAAGCCAAGGTCATTTGGTACCCACTGTTTTTTTTTTATCCAAAAGGATTGAAATCTTTCATCTATCTTTTCTCACAGATGCATGTCACTCTACCAACAGTGCATGATTAAAGTGAAAGTTATTGAAGACAGTGAGATTTATTTTAAAGTATAAAAAGGAAAGAAACTCATGTAACCTTTGGTTGCAGGATTTGTTGAAAACAGAAAGGAAGAAAAACCTTGGTAAATGTTATTGAGAGTTCAGGCAAATCAGATATTTTGTTTTAAATTTTCCTCAAACTAATTGGAGGAATCTTCTTCAGCAAATAAGTAAATCATATCTAATTCAGTATAATTCAATAGTTAATTCTGTATAAAAGATTATGGAAATGAAAGATTTTTTAAAAATGCCTAGCTTAAATTCTTCCTATACAGTTATGTCATGTCCAAGAGGGATCTACATTGAAGAAAGGGGTAATATCCCTGACAGTATGCAAATTTCCATTGTAATTCTGATTCAGTCTCATAGTTGAAGAGCAAAACCTAGGGCGGATAACATAGAAGGAGTTCTCTGTTGAGGTAAATGAATCAAAGTAATTAAATAGAGTTTGGAGGACACAGTCTCATATGACTGTATGAAATTTTTAAAAAAACATTGGCTCCCAATATTTTTAAAACTAGTCACAACTTTTCATTTGTTAATCTCTCATCAAGTCTTCATGTGGAATAGGCCTGTTCCTTGCCTTCTGAACACCGTGTTCTCTTTCTCTTGTTCTCTGTTATAATCAGGATATTATATCAAATTATTTGGATATTTCAGAATGTGAAAAGGAGATTTACGTCAAATGAGGTGCTAAACTATAGCAGGAAAACATAACTTTCATCAGCTTGTGGGGCCATGCTAGTTTTTACAGAGCATGGTTAGGACTAACTCAAGAGGGAGTGAACCTGGGGCCACTTTTTAACAGGTATTGGCATTTTAATTTTAATGTAATATTGGGTTATTTTAATTTTAGTTTATTTCTTTGGAAGGTAATACTATTTTTGTTAAACCCTGGAACTTTGTTTTTCATAAAACAATGTAATATAAGGATTGTTATCCAGTTCGAATGCCTTCTGCAGTGTGGAATCCACCCCTCCAAAGGAAATCTTTCCCAGTACTGATCAGCTCAGAGATTCCATCTGCTGATTTAAAAATGCTGCAGTATTTGCTTTCTTTTGGAAGAGAATGTTTGAAAGAATGGATCATTTCAAGAAAAACCCAAACTGGCAAGAAAAGCGGGAAATAAAGCATGGGGGAAGGGGGGGGTACGTAGTTAAGGAGACAACAGAAGCAGTAAATATATCAGGAAGTCCCAAGATCAAAGCATACCAAGAATAGAAAATAAGGTAAGACATAATAGTTTAATTGAGGAGATTTAGAGGGACAGCTTCCATAGGAAAGGCAAAAGAAGAAGTGGAGGGAAAGCACTGTGGAGAAATAGAAGGGGGTGGGGAAATTGAAGGACTGGGGGTTGGGGTCCATCAACAAGCATTGGGAGTTGTTACAGACCATCCTAGACATTCTTGCATTCCTGTCTCCTAGAAGCTGATAGATATGAACAAAGTAGGGAACAATGTCTATAGAGATTCTCAGGCATCCAGGTCATCTAAAACTGAAGAAACAATATGGATGAGAAGCGAAACATTTTCAAGGTACAAAACCAAGAAAGTCCAGTTGCCTTTCAAACAGCACCTTTGGAAACGTCATTTGAAATATGTCTTTTCCAAAGCCCCTGGATTTAATTCAGCCCATTTTCAAACTCAATCTTTGTTTTGCCAGCTTCCCCCAAACAGCAAATGTGGTTTTGTTATCTTCAATTTACAGAGAAGCAACAGATAGACAGACAATCCTGGGTCTCTTTACAAAAATCCCTTTGGATTGGAAAGAATAAAATGTTTGGAAGAAAGGTGGGGACCTCTATGTGCATTTGAATATGCCTTAAAATGGTGTGTTGCTCCTCATCCTGTCAGTGTCAGACTTAATACCTTGGCTTAGAAGTAAATCACAGACCTTAAGGCACTTAATCTTTAATTCACCTGTTGTGGCTAGACTGGCAAAAGAATCCCAGGAGCATCTTGGCTAGTACAATATCTATATTCCAAGCAAGAATGAAGCCTTAACATGACAGTTCATTGCTCACTCTGCCCCAGCCTTTAAATTGTATGCTACTTTCCAAGGTAATAGGTATTTGGCAGTTTGTTTTGGAGTCTTGTGGGCCATGTTTAGATAACAGTTCCTCTCTAGATTGGGAACTGCTGGTCCACACCTCAACTGTTTCAGCTTTAACAAACAGAATCACATTTGTGACATGAGCAGCTATATAAATCTGATAAATCAGTATAATTAAGCATATTAGTACTCTATATCGGTGGTCCCCAACCTTTTCAGCTTGGTGGCCCAGTCTATTGGGGGGGGGGAAGGTGAGTGGCAGGCACACGTATGTGCACAGCTCCATTTGTGCAAGTAGCAAGCACGAGTGGTAGGCACTTGAGTGGAGAGTGGTTGCCCATTTTTCCCATGGCCTGATTTCAAACAGGCTATTTTGGGGACAGGGACCTCTCTATATATTATTATGTTATATTAGTATTGGATTAGGCCTGGAGAGTTTTAGGTTCAGATTACCTGAATGGAATTTATTGAAAAACGATAATTGTGCATCCATCATAATCTTTTTTAACTTCATTAGGGGGCTGTTGTGGGGATAACATGGAGTAGGAGAAATACTGTGTGCAATGCCATGGTCTCTGGAGGAAATGTGAAATATAAATTCCACATAAACAACTGTAAATAAAGATGTGAAAGAAATATTGCATTAAATATTCAATATTTGTTATTATAAACTGTGGTAAACAGTCGGTATATTCAAGAAATGAACTTGCTGTAATAAACAGTGCACCAGTCTGGAGCATATTCCACCTATGGAGAAGCCGGAAAGCAATCCCCAGCATATGCTCACTGATCTATAATATAATTTTGACACTTAAGTCATTGAGTTAATGTTAATAGTGGCCCCTTTCTAACCAAACCTGTGCTTTGAAAAGAAGAGAGAGAGAGAGAGAGAGAGAGAGAGAGAAAGGAATATTCCTCCCACCTCATCTAATTGTGGTAATAAAATGTAATCCTGTCAAGAAAATGTTCTAGGGATAAGAAAATGGTGTGTTTTTTTAAAAAATTCAACTTGCTTATCTGTACAGAAAAATGTTACGTTGGCTGGATGAGACAAAAAGAGGTAAATAATTAAACATTTTCTACAACTATGTAAATATACTAGTTTTCTGCTGACCACAGGGTAGAATGACAGCTATAATTGATGTTTCAATTCATCTGCAATTACTAACCTTTGGATTACATCCTTCCAAGGGTCTTTCTTTGTGAACAACCTCTGGCTTTCCGTCTAGCATACCAATGGAGTAGGATCCTGGGAGTTAGTTGTTCAATAATACCTGGAGGGCTATAGGTCCCCTGCATCAGCCTAGACAATCATCTTCAAGCAATTAACAGGTGACCTAGTGACATGTGATTTACTAGAAAAACATCTCTGCATTTCTCAGGTTTCTTAATTTGCTGCTTTGAGCTGATAGTTTTCCAATATTGTATAAAACATCTTATTCAGTAACATGTTCTACAGCATATACCGTATATTCCGGCGTATAAGACGACTTTCTAAACACTTAAAATCTTCGCAAAAGTGGGGGGTCGTCTTATACGCCGGAAAAATATTACTCAGCAAGTTTTCTCTTCCCCCCCCCCTCTCTCTCACTCAAAAAGAGTCCTAGGGTTATTATTAAAACCAGCCGATCAACTAAAGATATCTCTGAGAGTACGATAGGCATTATCTGGCTGTTGTGACGGTAAGATTTCCTGGAGGTTTAATCCCCATTCTATAATGCTACATTGCAAACCGTCTCCTCTCTTCTTCCCTCCCTTTTGCATCCCAATTCCTTGCCCACCCCTCCAGAACTGCGGATTGGTAGTGGCCATCCCCTGATTAATTCATTCAAAGGAAGTAGAAAGGGATGGCCCATGTAATGGGGAAGGGGGGAAAAGAATTGTAGGGTGGTTTTTTTATATAATGAAAACAAACCTAAGCATCTGCGTCCATTCGAGGCACTTTTCAGTGCTTCTTCATGCAAGCTTTTCAGCGTTTACCTCTCACTGCCGGTGAGAGTAGCTTGGGGGAGGCGGAGCTTATGGGTCTGGAAGGGGAGGGGTGTCAGCTAAATTCCTCTCGGAGTTAAGAAGCAGGAATGGAGTGGGGACAGAAAACAGCTACACAATCCTTTTGCCCGAGCTTATGCAAGCAGTTTCTCCCCCCCCTGCCTAAATAAACTTGCATGGTGCATTTGTGGTGTTATTTATGACAGATCCTGGCTGGTCAATCTGGCTCCCATCTATAAGTACTGTAGTGCACTGAGTTTTAATAACAAATTAAAAGGAAAGCATTTACTCCCCCCCCCATTACCTGAAAAGGGGGCAACTTATCACATTTATGGAAATGCAAGTTTTCGAAGGGCGAATGCCTTTCTTACTTAGCTTATTAACTGCTTCCTTTCCTTCTTCCCTAAACATTCTGGCTGTCTCCAATTTCATTCTTGGTAGTGTTGCTTTAAAAAACTGCTGAGAAGTCCTTTTGCAGGCAGGGCAATTTTCATCAAGGTGTGTGTGCGATTGACAAGGCAGAGCCTTTGAAAAACAGGCAGGCTTTCTGCTCACTCAGCTTGGAGAGGCTGTGGAGTATTCGCAGGGTGGAAGACTGAGAGGAGGAGATCCCTGTGTGCAGCCTGTTTGCTCCAAGCCAAAGCTTGCTACTGGGGGGAGGGCAATGGAAGGGACCCAGGGAGTCACACGCATGCCTACATGTGCACGCACACACCCTGAGCTACTCATTTGGACTTACAGGTGGCCAATGAGAACTCAGAAACTGTGCTCCCTTTCCCCCTCCCTCATGGAATTAGCTTGTCCATTTTTTCCCTAGGGCCTATACAGGAGTAGGCAACCTTGGCTCTTTTATGACTCATGGACTTCAACTCCCAGAATTCCTGAGCCAGCATAGCTGGCTCAGGAATTCTGGAAGTTGAAGTCCATGAGTCATAAAAGAGCCAAGGTTGCCTACCCCTGGCCTATAAGATGACAGGAAGGGTTGGGCAGGCAGGGAGAGCTGATCCACCCAATCCAAGCAGGCTTTGTATACAACAACCAGCTAAGGTTCATCGCTTGCTGTGATTGGCTGGTTGTTGTATACTGGGTACATACAGTACAGCACCAGTATCTGTACCAGTTCATACAGTACAGCACCAATACATACAGTACAGTATACAAATGTCCAATAGTCAAGACCCTATCATGGCTCCACCAGCAAGAAGAAGGAAATATGAAGCCAGTTTCAAACTTAAAGTTGTAAACTTTGCCATGGAACATAATAACTGCGCTGCTGCAAGACAATATGGAGTAACAGAAAAGATGGTTCGGGACTGGAAGGCAAATGAAAAAGCATTAAAGAGTATGCCAAGGGGTAAGTGTGCATTAAGAAGAGGCACCCCACATTGGCCAGAACTTGAAAAACATGTAGCAGACATGGTGAATGAGCATCGCCAAAACGGTTATGTAGTGACACGAAATAAAATACGTTTGTTTGCACTTCAGTGGGCCAAATCTAACCCAGATCACAGCAACAGATTTAAGGCCACTGCATCCTGGTGTACTAGATTCTTGGAAAGGCATAATATGGTACTGAGGCAAAAGACGAAAATTGCACAAAAATTACCTGCAGATCTTGATAGCAAAGTAATTAGTTTCCATCAATACATAATACAACAGCGCATTAAACATGGCTATGCATTAAGTAGTATTGGAAATATGGATGAAACTCCAATGAATTTTGATATGGTTGGAAATAAAACTGTCCATCAGAAAGGTGAAAAAACAATTTTAATTAAAACAACAGGACATGAGAAGTCCAGTTTTACAGTGGTACTAGCATGCACAGCTGATTGTGCCAAACTGAGACCAATGATTATTTTTAAAAGAAAAACAATGCCAAAACTCAAGTTCCCTGTTGGTTGTTTTGTACATGTGAATGAAAAAGGCTGGCTGGATGAAGAAGGGGTAGAGCTATGGCTTGATAATGTATGGAGCAGGCGACCAGGTGGACTTATTCAAAAACGTAGTCTACTGGTGTGGGATATGTTCAGGGCTCATTTAACTCCCAGCACCAAGCAAAAGCTTGCAAGACTAAACACAGATGTTGCAGTTATTCCTGCAGGATTAACATCGTTAGTACAGCCACTGGATGTATGCCTAAACAAGCCATTTAAAGATCGCATTCGAGAACAGTGGAATGAATGGATGGTTAGTGGCGAAAAGTCATTCACACAAGGAGGAAACATGCGTGCTCCACAATTGGATGTTTTGTGCAAGTTTGTCATAAAAGCCTGGAATGATATTGATGCAGAAACAATAATCAAGTCTTTCAAGAAGTGTTGCATATCAAATTCATTAGATGGTATGGAGGACGACTACTTGTGGCAAGATGAAGAGGAAGCCGAAGCTGAGACCACACCATCTGATACGGAATTCGATCCATACGATGACTGCCTTGCAAATGTATCACAAGATGTCATTGATATTTTTATGATATCAGATGATGAACAGGATGATTTTAAAGGCTTTTAAAGGGAAAGTATCATGCCAGCAAAACCTATAAAAATAGCTTGCAGTTATGATGGGCGTTGCTGACTCGCCAGGGACTTGCCCGGCACGTGCTCTCTCTATTGTTTGTTATCTTCCTCCTATCATCATCAGTTCCAGTTTGGTTGACAGCTTAGAAAACAAATAGCATGGCAGCTCCCATGGGTTTAGTGTCTTATCCTTCCTTTCAGCTTTAGAGTGAATTAGGAAAAGTTTAATCACTTGCACTGTTTTATGTTTACATGTTTGATGACAAACAGCCTTATGTTTATAAGTGACAGTTTTCCTGCTAAGTACCTTTATGCCATAAGCATTTGAATTAAAATTACCATATTGAAATCAAATCTGATGTTTTTTAATTTTTATTTGGTGTGCGTTGAAAGAGGGGTAGTCTTATACGGCGAGTATAGCCCAAACTCTATATTTTAACTGGAAAAGTTGGGGGTCGTCTTATACGCCCAGTCGTCTTATACGCCGGAATATACGGTAGATATGGCTTTCCCTCCTGTTTAAAATTAGGCAGCCAGCAGCATCTCTCAAGAGAACTGTTTGTCTTCTTTACATTTAATTTTGCTTTTGGTAAGCCACAAAGGTCCCCGATGTAACATCCATAACTACACCAATATATATAAACATTGGCTAAAGATATGTCCCGTATGGGAATTTTTATGAACATTGCTACCTTAAAAATATCAAAGACTATGGTGCCTAAAAGTCAATGTTTATTCTAGCACCATTCTTTCTTTCATAGCCCTTAGGCTTGGTAACACATTCATCCATCATGAACCCAAATGTGAGTTGTTTCTTGGTAAGACCTGGAAGTCCCAGACTTCATGACTTCCTTATTGTATACATAGCATTATCCAAAGGAATGTGAAAATCAGCTCACACTATCAGGAGTCTAGTGCGTTCTTTCTGACATACTTTATTAAAAGGCATACGATTTTGTGAATTATAGTTCACTTCATCAAATACATGGAGGAAGAATGATATAAGAATGAGACATGGAGAAAAGGAAAGGATGATTATTACCAGTACCATGTTAAAAATCTATTGTGTATATTGAGATTTCCTAAGATAACCTTTTGTTTCAAAACAGCTACTTTAAGATCTGTAATAGAGTATCCTGGGACGCTAATATGGTCTGTGATTACTTTACCCTTGTGTCCATTGATTCTTTCACACAAAAATCTGATTGGTTATTTCTATGTAGGATCCATAGGAGCATTCTAACTAAAGACACCACATATCACATTGCAGAAAAAGTATGGGAAAGCTTTTCTAATCTTACATGTAAAATTGTTGCAGTTTGTGATGATGTTGTTGGTATACCTGTGAGGGAAAAGCAAGCATCTGTGTTTGTTGCAGAGCCTGGTTCTCATATTAGCACAATTTATTTTGTTATTTCCTTTGCTGGTGAGAACCTGCTTCAGGTTAGGTGGTTATCTTTACCATCTTAAGTGCAGTATTGTTGTCCAGTATGGGTTGTAGCTTATTATGACTGAGTGATTTGAGCGGTGAGCTGTAAATGACAACCAGTTTTGTTTTGCTGTGGTACTATTAGATTCCTCCTAATTTTCTGCTAGCATAAACTAATATGGATTTTCTCCTAAACTAGCTTTCATTATATATTTTCCCTTTTCATAACTGTTCTTAATAAATATCTGCAACTAATTTTACAAAAATAATTTTAAACATTTGCATTATCTTATGGGATAATATTTCATTATTTTTCTATCTTTTTCAAAAAGAATAGAATCATTTATTAAGAATGTAAGTTAAAAAAGCAGTACTAAAAAGAAAAGTATAAAAGTAATAAAAAGGTGATACTAAACAATTTTGCTGCTATGTGCTATCCAGTTGTTTCAATAGGACAAACTAACATTTTATGTTGTTGTTGTTGTTGTTAATTGCGAAGTCGTGTCCGACCCATCGCGACCCCATGGACAACGTTCCTCCAGGTCTTCCTGTC